CAGACAGGGAGCAGACTGAGGGAATGGGAAATGTCACAGGAGACACTGAGGAACAGAAACAATGGGCCTCATGCAAGAACATTTTTTGTATTTTTATCCTAAATTTCTCTTACTTTTACTACGTCAGATTCAACAAACGCTTCCATCTTCAGGAAAAATGTCTAAATGAGCATAAACATGACAAATGCATATTCAGGTGCTCGAGGAAAGGCGATTAGCATAATCACCATCCAAAAAAAACACCACATAAGGCTACACTTCCTACCCCACATACCAGGAAGTGTTCATTCATGAAAATGACAGCAAAAAGTAAAAAGAACAAACTGAACACATTTCCTCACTCTGCTGTTGTCTTTAGTCTCTTTTCTCTACATGTTTATTGTAATTATTTCGATCATGTTTTTTCTTTGTCTCTTCCAGAAGAAGGTGCACCTGGACCAGTTTTGGACCAGTTCTTCTGTGTTTGTCTGTGTCTCTTTCCTGTCCTCCAACCCTGCTGGTCGAGGCAGATGGCCGCCTGTCCTGAGCCTGGTTCTGCTGGAGGTTTCTTCCTGATTAGCAGGGAGTTTTTCCTCTCCACCDTTTGCTCAGGATGGGAGACTGTGATGAGGTGATTTAACACAGCCTGCTGGTTTCTTCCTTAGATTGTTATTTTATGTACACTGTCCTGAGACAACGTATGTTGTGACTTGGTGCTATATAAATAAACTTGTACTTGAACACGTAAGCAAAAAAAAAAGTTTTAATTCTGACACAATTTATCGTCTGGCAAAATTTGTTATCCTGACAGGCCTGGTTATTTATTACTAAAACAATTTATAACAAGTGATGAAATTATGTAAATCTTAAGAAGAACTCAAACAAGGCTATAACGGTTTAGACAATATGCCAACAATTATGCAAAATTGTAAAAAAAATTTAAAGACGCTGAAGATGGAATTAAAAAAAATCCACTGGAAGCTTCTTGTAGGCATGCACATACTGTAATGCTAGCAAACTGATCAAAAATATAACTTAATTGTAATTTAGATGTAAAGAAACATCATAGGTTGGTATAAGTTGTCTGAAAGGTTATAGTGTGAYGGGGCTTTTATTATTTGTAGGTTAATGGATGCAAATCTGTTTTATTTTCTGCCTGTTGTTACAGGAGGACCAAAAACACATTTCTTTTCCTGCGACACTCTCTAGTTTACATGGAAAAAAACAAATGTCTGCCCATGTATTCTGTTGAGCCAGATGCTGTYCAACAATAAAAGCTGCAGCCAAACTGAGATGGTTCTGGCATTAATAATGAATAATGCATTTTTGTGTGGAGCGGGAACAGCAGGGCTGCAGGGACAGGACTTTGCTCACATAATCTTTCTGCCCAAGCCCTTTTTTTTAATCCACGGGTTGCTGGAATCTGGCTATCGGACATCCAATAGATGAGAATGTTCTCACCAAGGACAGCTCCCTGGAGTCAGGCCCAAACCCCAGCAAATGCCCTCGTCAATCTGTCTTCATCTGGCAGCAGCAGCTGCAGTCAAAACCACACTTAACAAGCCCACGCAATGAAAGCCTTGTTTCATTTTGTGCAAGGGATAAAGAGCACTGCAAAGTTCATTTTAAATTATTTGGTC